TCTGCCCAGTGCCACCTCTGTCGCCCTCGGGTACACCTCTGGTCCCCGTGAGCTCTGGCCAGTGCCACCTCTGGTCGCCCTGAGCTCTGCCGAGTACCACCTCTGTCGCCCGTGAGCCTGCAGTGCCACCTCTGTCCACCCTGAGTGCGCAGATAGCCCAGCCTCTGTCCCGTGAGCTCTGCCAGGCACCTCTGTCCCCGTGAGCTGCTGCCCGCATGCCACCTCTGTCCCCGTGAGCTCTGCCGCAGTGCCCCTCGTCCCCTGGGGCGTTGCTGCCAGTTGCAGGCTCTCCCCGAGCTCTGCGGTGCGCACCTCGGTGTCCCCCGCGGAGGCGTCTGCCGGTAGCCACTCTGTCCCATGGGCTCTGCCAGGTGCCACCTCGGGTCCCGCGAGCTCTGCTGGGTGCCACCTCTGTCCCGGGGACAGAGGTGGCGCTGGCAGAGCTCGCGGGGACAGAGGTGGCAAAGGCAGAGCTCGCGGGGACAGAGGTGGCACTGGCAGAGCTCACAGGGGACAGAGGCGGCACTGGCAGAGCTCACTAGTGACAGAGGTGGCACCGGCAGAGCTCTCGGGGACAGAGGTGGCACCGGCAGAGCTCGCGGGGACAGAGGTGGCACCGGCAGAGCTCGCGGGGACAGAGGTGGCACCGGCAGAGCTCGCGGGGACAGAGGTGGCACTGGCAGAGCTCACAGGGGACAGAGGTGGCACTGGCAGAGCTCGCGGGGACAGAGGTGGCACCGGCACAGCTCTCGCGGACAGAGGTGGCACTGGCAGAGCTCATGGGGACAGAGGTGGCACTGGCACAGCTCTCGCGGACAGAGGTGGCACCGGCAGAGCTCATGGGGACAGAGGTGGCACCGGCACAGCTCTCACGGACAGAGGTGGCACTGGCACAGCTCGAGGGAGACAGCCGTGACCCAGCGCACCCTCCCCACCTCCCCAAGTGAGGGCAGCCCAGGAGAACAGAGCCGCGGCCGAGCCTGGGGGCCGCGGAGAAAGGCACAGGCTCCCTGGGGACGCACGCTTGGCTCACACAGTCGGGCTTCAGCACAGCTGGGGAGAATTTGGAAGTGACGCGTGCGGGAGGTCACAGCCTCCCCAGTTAGGGAGCGGCACACGCACTCTCATCTGCTTGCTCTGAAGCCTTTTGTCTGGGAGGACACGCCGCCACGCCGCCTGGGCTCTTCAGCGGGGACTGTCATCCTCCCTCCGCTCCTCCAAGCACAGGGCTTCCCGAACACCGAGGGGAGGGAAAGGCTGGCAGCCTCCGCCCTGGATGCCTCCAGCTCAGGGCCAGAGGCCACCTCTCGAGGAGCGTGGCCAGGTCCACAGCGGTCACCCTGAGAAAGACCTCCTCCTGGGGACGGTCCCTAAGTTTGTGTTCTGCTGGTCACGAGTGAAAACCACATCAGTTTCCCTCCCTCTGAGAGGGCAGAGGCTAAAAAATAACTTGTGGAATGATGGTGCGTCCATGGAGGCTTTGGAAAACGCAACTGGCTAAGAGAGCTTCCGGGTGATCCGGGAACTGCCTGCCACGGTGGGTGGGGTGGGGTGGCTTGAAGGACCTTGCAAAGGGCTGGCGAGCCCACAGTCTCAGAGAGCAGCTGTCTGTCATGTACAGAGACCACAGGCTGGGGGACCACATCGGTGTGACAGTCAGAACCACAAGCAGAAACAGCAAGCGGAGGGCAGGCCCAGAGCCCCCCGGCCTCCCGGACAAGGCTGGGGCTCTCCCTGACCACGTGGAAGGGCCCCCACGTGGCTCCCGGTCAAGGAAACTCTGCCTCCCACAACTGACACTGCCTCACGCCGAGCCTCCCTGGCCCCTGACAATGCAGCCAGTTCTCTTTCTCTGGCCCATGTACCTGGGGAAGGTGCTAACACCCTTCACAGCCAAGCATGGACACCTGGGGAGAGTCCCGCCCTCTCCCCCACCAAGATAAACACACCAGCAAAGAAAAGTCTACGAAACAACAGGACACACACAGAATTAACCTAACACCATAAGCCCCAGGTGAAATTTTCATGCTGTTCATGGCTTATAAAAATTGAAGTCCCAGATGGTACATTTTGGTGAATAATGTCAGAAAATAGGTACAGATCAAAAACTGGTTTTTTTTTTAAACATATAAATTCCAAAGAATCAGTTTGAAGAATGGAGACTTGCAGAGGGAGAAGAATTCATGGGGTGGGGGACACCCTCAAATGATTAAAGGGTACGAGAACTGGGGCATTTTCAAAGACATTTGCCCTGAACAGCCTGCAGCTCGCTCACATGGAACCACATAGGTGACATTAGGGCGAACATTTTAATGAAAATTACCTCGCTTAATTAGCAAGATTCATATTAAATTAGTTTCTGGAGCACTGAAATTTCTTCAGTGTTCATTTTATGATGAGCTTGGGCTTGGAAATACCTTCCTAATTTCTTTAAAGTGACATCTTCATCAGTCTTCAGGCTTCACACAATGAGAGCTCTCTGACAAAACTAATCTAACTGGAGCCATCCACGGAAAAGATGATTTTTTTGTGTGTGTGAAAAGGGTTAAAAATAACTCTTTTCCTGTCTGAAAACGATTAATATTCCACCCAACTGTTTCCTTCTTTCAGGCAATCTGCAAACTCTTAAGTGGGTGGATATTTTCTTAGCTGTCTGAACATGTGTTTATTTCTCCCCCCCCCACAATAAAAATCACACAAGGTATGACAAAAAGCGTATGCACTTTTAAAGTCTGCCACGCCGCCTTCCCCATCCACTCCCCGCAACAGCAACCCAGGGGC